AATGTCGCACACCGACGAGGCACTGATCCTTGCTAATCATATATACTCACCTCACGGCAGCACTGCTGTCTTGTGCGCAGTAAAATACAGCGGGGACGACGACGACCCACAACCACCAAACCGTCTAAGCGGCCAGCCTCCACGTCTGCTGGTCGGGGCCGGCGTGGTAAGGGTCGCCGCATCTCGTAAAAGTGGACGACATGGTACGGAATGGGCACCATGCTGTCCGCCGTACCGGCAATCTCTCCAATCGGTAGATTGTCCGCCATCAACATCAACGAGACTCTTCGAGACTGGGCGCCGGGACTACGTGGTACGGAATGGGCACCATGCTGTCCGCCGTACCGGCAATCTCTCCAATCGGTAGATTGTCCGCCATCAACATCAACGAGACTCTTCGAGACCAGATCTGGGCCCCCGACGTGGTACGGAATGGGCACCATGCTGTCCGCCGTACCGGCAATCGGTAGATTGTCCGCCATCAACATCAACGAGAGTCTTCGAGACTGGGCCCGAAGACGACGTGGTACGGAATGGGCACCATGCTGTCCGCCGTACCGGCAATCTCTCCAATCGGTAGATTGTCCGCCATCAACATCAACGAGACTCTTCGAGACTGGACCTGGGCCCCAAGGCGACGTGGTACGGAATGGGCACCATGCTGTCCGCCGTACCGGCAATCGGTAGATTGTCCGCCATCGACATCAGCGAGATTATTCGAGACATGGGCCGTCGACGTGGTACGGAATGGGCACCATGCTGTCCGCCGTACCGGCAATCTCTCCAATTGGTAGATTGTCCGCCATCAACACCAACGAGATTCTTCGAGATCTTCGAGACCAAGGGCTTGCTAAAAATCCCAGCATATCTACTTTGGTACGGTGTGGGCACCTGGCTGTCCGCCGTACCGGCAATCTCTCCGATTGCCCGCCCTTGCTGCATAGTAAATCCCTGTTGCTGGGGAGTGTGGTGGCGTGCACACACCACACATTGAAAAGAAGATCTGCCCGTGGTTGCTTAGTCTTGCGCCTGTGCTTGTACGGCTCCACAGCTGGGCATCATCGCCGTGGTTGTGGACCGAGCTCCCACGCTAACCACGAAGGCAGGCTGGCTGGGTCGTTCGTGCGGCGACATGCGTCACCTCTTGATTCAAATAACAAATTTAAAGGGACCCTCTCACCTCGAAAAAGTTAACGAATTGGCATGAAAGTGATGTATCTTGGTTCAGAAAGAACAAACATGAATATCCACCAAATTTCACTTAAAATATTGCTCGTTTTTTTTTTGGCCATAAGCAGACTGGTTATTGATTCACCTTTTTTGGATCGATTCAATCATTGATTCATTTGTTTTTTGTTTGATTCAATCACTGTTCGATTCCTTCCAAAAAAATTGGTGAATCGATTCCTTTTGATTCAGAGAATGAGAAAAAAGGAATGATTCACGTTTGATTCAGCCAAAAAGTTATTGAACGATTCTTTTTTTTTTGATTATATTTAAAAATAAAGATAAATATCAGGGATAGTATTGTATTTGTTGTGTTCTTTTTGGTGGTATGCAATTATCATCACATGGCAGTAGTGTTAACATTTGTTGATGAACTATGTTCGCTTCATTTTTTTTTAAGGTTCATGAATCGTTAATTTGTTTGATTCAATCAACCCTGATTCCCAATGAGTTTGATTCAATCATGGCTTAAAAATCAAACCATCCGGACGGTGAATCAAACCTTTCGACTCAATCACGGTGAATCAAACACCAGTCTGGACATAAGACTTTAACTTTTTTCCCTTTCCAGGGCCTTACCTGTTCCTATGACGTCATTTGGAAGCAATAATGTGGTATCTTGAAAGTGCGGGATATGTCACGCGCAATTTAGTATCTATAAAACCATGGCAAAAATTGTCTTACCAAAGTTTAAGTAAATCGGTGATGTCACACATTAAGAGGGGGCATCTAAGTGCATTAGCCCCTCTGAATCCAAAGTGCTGCAACTTTGAATCTAAATATTTTCGATCTAAGGCATTTCTCGATGTTGCGAGTGCCGAAACCGGTGATTTCCAGCCAAGGACCCCAATTTGGGTATCTCAACTCAAAACTAATGTTAACGTGCCTCCCACCTTAACATTAGATTTGAGTTGAGATAGCCAAAATGGGGTCCCTGGCTCACAATTACCAGTTTCGGCACTCACAACATCGATAAATGCCTTAAATCGGAAATATTGAATTTCAAAATTGCAGCAATTTGATTCAGAGGGGCTAATGCATAGGAATACCCATCTGAATGTGTGACGTCAGCGCAGATATCTAACGAATTTTAAATGTTTGACTAAAACGTTTTGTAGCACGTGGTGGTATATGTTGCTTTGAGCTGCCAAACTATTGCTTCCAAGTTCCAAATAAAGTCGCTAGGAACAGCGGAGATCCCAAAAAGTAAACAAAAGTAAAAGTCCAATATCTTGAAAACCGGTGAATATTTTTCGGTGAAATTTGGTAGATATTCGTTTTCGCTCTTTCTGAACCGAGCGACATCACTTTTATGCCAATTCATAAACTTTTTTGAAGGTGGGAGGGTCCCTTTAATCGTATTTGTGTAAATTAACGTATTCTGTCAAATACCGGCGTCCTATTTTTGTGCCGTCCATTCTTAAAATCATCAGTTCACTTGCAGACGATGATTAGAAGCTTTGCTTCCAATGGAATGCACGAAGCAATGACTGCATAATGCATTCTTTGTTTTAAAAACAAACTGTGCAATAAAAATTGCACAAAACTTGTTCGATATCTAATCTACCTTTGGTGGCTTCAGCTTACCTGACAGTTCATTTATGTATCCACATTGCTAGGAAGCATATCATCCGTCTAATCCAAACATAAACTATTCTCGTTGTTGAAACTGGTGACGCACAAGCTGACGTAACGTTAGTGGAGACTTCATCTCAAAAAACAGCCTGCATGGGCTAAAATCCCGGGGGGCGCGTATGGCTCGTATCATTTGCGAGGCACGCGACGGGAGCCTTGAGGAGCTTTCCATGCTAAAGCGCCTCTAAACCCAGGTCTCACTTGGAGATCGATCTCACTCGGAGATCATGAGTCTGTTGTAGAGTGGCGTCATTTTACGTCCAGTCCACCGAACCAGTGTGCACAATTGCTGGCGGTGGATACCAGACTCCCCCCACGGGTCGTCATGTGCGAGGCAAGGTCGGGGATAAGATATCACGGCAGCAATTGAAGATAAAATTGAGATTCTTTATGTAAATGCTATTAGGCTGCTACATTTGCACAATGAGTGAGTGCAAAGCTTCTCTTTAATTGATATTTTTCATTATTCAAGCATACTATTACCTAATACGTCTGAGTCTACCTTCACTTTATCCACGAAAATGCTTCAAAATCGCGTTTTTCGTCGGTAAATAGCATTGTAACCTTTCGTCAGTTGACACACGCTTTCACTGCCGCATCCGGACTCTCAGTGCATATTTGTCTATGCATCATGAGCTTAAGTATTGTTTCCTTTTTCGTTAGATCAAGCTTCAACTTCTAGCGCTTAATCGCTCATGCCAAGCAAAGTTTGCGGACTTGTTAAAGGTTAAAAGAAAATATATTTCCTTCAACAGATGTCTATAAAATGAGGCTACAAATGAGCGGTTTTCTTCTGGCAATTATGGTACTATAGCACGTTGCTGATGGAAGGCGGTCAAGAAAAAGATTATTTGCAGTTGTGCCTCATCGTCACTTATTTGCCAAATGAAATTTTAATTGCTGCTGTTATCCCCGGCTATAGTGTCTACGGTGGCGAGCTTTCTCCGCGGACCTTCAACTTCAAGACCTTCTACTTCAAGACCTTCAACTTCTAAACAACTAAAGGGATATTCTCGTCATACTGCACTGTCCATGACGTGCATGTCGGGTCATCGACATGCATGTTCAATACCATTAGTGCACATGCTGCACCAGACTATATTTACGGACGTTGACTGTTTGCTTTAGGCACTGTTTCAAGCATTGTACGATGGCCGATAACAAAAGTATTTGTTAACGTTTTCAAGTTCCATTCGGAGTATCCGATACTACGACGCAATGTTAGTCGGAACTAACGTATCTAGTTAATCATGTTATCGCATGATGTTCTTGCTCATTGGCAAACATTATTTCAGCAGTCGATACGTCCTCCAAACTTCAGTAACTGTTACTATATAGTCCCCGTTCGTCACAAACGACCGTTGACATTTTGTCAACCTCAAATTCGAATATATTAACCGTTTACACGCACGAGAATATCCCTTTATCCAAACTAGCAAGTGTGTCTACTGTTTTCTTACTAGGCAAACAAAAGTTTGTCACAGCATGTGCGCAGTTCACTTTACCTATGTGCATTCATACTAAAAGCCATTCGTCCACAAGCAAGTTATTTATTTGCGCTATTGACGTAAGCTTTCATGAAGGCCAAACCAATGCTGATTCGTCAATGCTGATTGTCAGCTTGAAAGTAAAGATGAGCAAAGTGGTTCAACTGAATCTTATGGTTGCAGTAGGGCATATTAGAAGTAAGTGACAAGTATGTGTCAGCAATTGTTTATGCTTCTTAACCCTAGATACTTTTGATTCAATCCTTTTGGTGATGACGTAATGTGACAGAAAACAGTAGACACACTTCATCTCATCGGAAACCCTGAATGATTGGTATTTGTGAGCATGTGTGCCTGTGAGTGTGTAAGGGTGGATGTGGGTGTGTGGGTATGTATGTGCGTATGTGAGGGTGTGCGTGTCATCTTACACGTAATTTAGTGAATGAGTGAATTGGTACTAGTTTTCAAGTAAATACGTGCATGAGTGCGTGTAGTCAGTGGTGTATGGAACTAGCATTGTGCCTGCCTGCTGCCAACGAAATATGCAAGCCCACACAGAGAAAACAGTTTTATTGTGCAAAACTACATGCTGCTGGCAGGGTTTACATGCAAGTCACATATTGCAGGTCTACCATAAGCAGAGCGATGTGACATCTGATAAGTACCTAACTCACAGCAACACATACTCTGCATGTCCAGGGAAAGTGAGTTGTGCTCGGAACAGATTGGCCAGACAGTTTTGTCCTATCAAATTCAGAATTGTTTCATCCTCCTCACAGTTGCCATTAACATCATGAGCACACATTATTGCTAGATCTGAATGCCAGCTGCCTATTGCACCGCTGGCACGTAGTTTGAGACAAAGATGCCGCCAGTTTTCCACCTCGCTGCTGATACAATGCAATACTGCTACAAAATGTCCGTGTTCTGTGTTTTTAGTGTTGTATGTTTGTATATGAGTCTTGCGTCGTGTGAACATTACCTACATGAGTTAAAGTGTTCCCGCGAAAGTAGGTACTGAATTAGCTCAAGCCAGGATTGCGTTGCGGATATATTTGTAGGCCATACAATGTTTTATGGCGTCATTTACGACATTTCCTGTTTTTCTTGTCGTTGTATGCACGTGAGTTGTGCCGCATGTTGCGCTTGTAAATCATGTTCTCAATGTCATTTTCTTTTGGTACAATTGGTCACCACTACACATCACTCGCATACACTCGCCCAAGCAAGTCGGATATCAATCACTGTCCAGAAGTGCATCATGCATTCAACCACGCATAGAACACTGGCACACCAAGAACATGAACTCACGCAAAAACGAGAGGGCTATCACACGACTTCGCATTGGACACACCGCTATCACACACAACTACATCATCACAAGAAGCCCGAGACCGAAATGCAACACCTGCAACACTTTCATCACTGTCAAACATCTGCTACTCACATGCCCACAATACCAACACCACAGGACACACATACAAACATACTGCAGAGACGCCAACATCCCACTAACACTCACAACACTGCTCGGGGACTTACGCCCCGAGCTAACAACACTACTCATCCACTAAAGACACAACACTGGGCTGATCAATGACCTGTAAATCTCCTCCCCTAGAGCCAAGGAAAAAAAAGCCAAAAAAGCCAAAAAAAGAAGCAAAAAAGAAAAAAACAATATTCAAAACAATGAGAATCAAAATAAAAGACCCCAGAATGGCAAAATGGCAAAAAAAACAAAAACAAAAAAAAATAATAGAAGGGGCAATCCGGCTACCCGGGAGGAGATAGCTAGGAACCCAGTCCCACCCCTCAGCCCACCCTTGCGAGCCAAGAAGACAACGGACACTTCAAGGCAACGGACGGACCAACAACGAAGACGGACGACAGAACCGGGCCCAAATACAGGACGCTGTGGTGGCCCGTAAGCTACAAATACCATACCATACCATACCAGTGCATCATGCAGCAGAATAAGCTTCATTGAACACACTCGTCATCATGAACGGCATCTAGGAGTTTCATGAGTTTGGATCTGTGACCAGTAAGTGGAATGGGAGCATAATGGTACACGCTACCAAACCAGATATGCCTACACAACGTTAATATTTTTTTTTGTAATGCAACAAGGGAACGAAAAGCGTGTTCAAAACTTTAACTCCTTGTCCTTATGTGCCTGCAGGCTGATTTCGCAGTATCCAATGGCAACCGTGTATGACCAGGCGCCGCTTGGACGCCTTGTCCAGTCACGTCTTCTGGGACTGTGTGATGACTGCCTCTGCATTCTCAAGTGCCAGTTTCTGCCTCCGGCCCATTTCATTATCAAAGGATGCTGTTAGCTTAACGAACAGCTCTGCTCCAAGATTCCAAACGGTTTTACGGTACTGTATGCCTACAAAACGTTAATATTTTTTGGAGGCGGTAATACTCGGATGAACTGACCTTTATGGGTGGGTATTCAACGTTGAATAAAGTAGGCTTGTAGCCCTCTGCCTATTGACTTCTAAGGGTTTTAGTAATATTTATCGAATATCTCATCTGAAATGCATTTTCACTCACAGTCGTCGAAATCGAAAAATCATAAGCTTAGAAATCCGCGGACTTGACATATTATATTTTATCGACGATTCGTTTCGACTTGCTGTCATGTCGGCTAATCATCCGTTGCTTCTCCTATTTTCACAGGTGCATTACCAGTCATCTTTACCGTCGATACCGTTGAAGATTTTACCGTCGATCACGGAGCACCCATTGCGCTGGCCGTTGCTGGCACTTTTTTATTTGTCACTAGCTATTAGTTATCTGCAGATATACATTAGCCACCTGTACACCCGCTTACACTAGCTCTCATCATCTAGTTCTACGTATGTGTGTGTTTGTTTTAATTGTATTGCCGATGAATTCGGTAGACATGCTCCGCCCGCAAACATGTACCACATGATGCAGTTCACTGAATGTAGCAGTTAATCACTCGTAAAAAGCGGTCATGTTTTCGTATAGTGTAGGTATGCATCTATGTAAGCATGTGTTCACACTCATGAGCGATCCACACATGATATTGCATTTCCTGTTCAGTTATATTTTTAGCACTGGAACACGATGCTCATACACTGTGTTGTTATCTTTCTTTTTTCGCCTGCTCCTTCCTCCAACTTGTGTCTTTGAGTATTTCAGTCACATGCTCAAACGTTCTTAAATGCTCTCGCCATCGGTTTACGGATGCGTTGAAAACGGACATGTGTTGACCAAATTTAACAATATGCGGACAATGGATCGACTTCTTGAAGCCTGTGGACGTGATACACCTTCTCCATCACCATCAAGAGATCAACATTTTCGAAGACACTTGCGTACGGCTGGTATGTATTCATATTTGAATGTCCATTGTCAACACGTTGCAGAATGCTTTACATTTTGTGTGATCATTTACTGTCCTCATTCCTACACAATGCCAACATGTTTGTCATCGTCTTCATGTACCTATCTATTGGGATTGATGTTTGCGTCTACTGACAGACACTTGTCAACATTTTCAGCAGTGTCCGGCGCAATGCTGAATGCGACCTGTTATCTGTTGGATCTACTCTGTGAGCCCGAACCCCAGTGCAAGTGAGTTGTTTGTTACACCAGTGCCGGAGCACTCTGTAATATGTGCAAGAGCCTGTGACTTTGTTTGCTTGGCTAACTAAACACATACCTACGGAAAATCATTCCAACGTTGCTTTGGTTTTCAGTTGAGATGTCAATCGGATACCAACTTTTTGGTATACCGATACCAAACCGATACCAACTCGGTATTTGGTATTTCAATCCTAATGTGTTTGGTATTTTGTTGGTATCATGAACCCTCGCTAATGTCTAAGAGGCTAAGAAATCAGTAAAAAGTTGGTTTTTTCCTCATGTTCCCAAGTTGGTTTGGTTTCGGTATATTTCTCCACGGTTTTGGTTGGTATTTGGTTTGGTATCGGTATTCCGATTTTCCGTAATTGACATCACTAGTTTTCAGTGTTTTACTGTATTTTTAAAGCAGTGCCTACACATATCAATCAAATATATCCCGCGCACCGACGGGGGGGGGGCGGATTTCCGCCCCCCCCCCCCGAGGTTTTCCCACTATCTACGGTTTTCAGGTTTTCAGGAAAACCGTGCGCAGGATATTCTAAATGCCTTAATATGGTCCATTCCATAACCATCTAACCGAATTCCCGAATTCCCGATATTCGAACCGAATTTCGCAAACCTTCTCCCTTTCTGGCAGTGGCACTGTTCGACTATAGCGCTGGACGTCGTCTACTTTTTGCTAGAGGGAAAGGTCATCATCCGTCCATGAACTTCGGGCTGCTCACAGCTATATTGCCTTGGCAAGTTCTTTGAGCACTCAATACTGGACTTGGGCTGCGAAAGCTAATGACAATTTGGGGAGCTTGATATTGCAATGGCTATGACGTGAAGGCTCAATATGACGAACAGCTCGACTATTCACCATTGTCAACGCTTATGATAGCTAAATATCATTGTGCTTGGTGTACATTCACGTCTCGTTTCCTTGCTCCATTTGTACCTCACCGGTCGTCCGTCCCCACAGGCCTCGGCTGCAGCACAAGCCACATTCATCGGCCCAATCATCAGTTATTCATCCTGCAAGTTTTAAGTCACTTCGTTGTGACCCGGACATCGTCATCTTTCAACGAGTTCAAATGATTATTTCATTCATCATCGTCGATCAGACTCATCATGTAAAGACACTTCCATAATGCTAGCCGCCATCTACGTTTGTGCAGGAAGCAAATATCAGGTTGTTATTAGCTGCGGGCTACTCAGTACCGACTGAACTACTGGCAGTAGTGTGCGAGCACCTAATACTTGTATTGTGATACCAAAGCTAAAACGGATGATAGCTTAGCGCATAGGGCCCTACCGCTTTCCACACACACACACAAACAAAACTTGACTTTGGGCATTAGCACCATGGCAGGATAAACAGGCAGTTTCGCTGTTTTTCACTGCTTTCATTGGCAGGTGTTACTGCTCATTCCCGTTTTATGTGATGTTAGAACAGCCCTTCACCATAGTCCTGTTTTCTCCTTTGCCGTTTTCCATAGACATCAGATGCGACATGCACTCCAACGATCGGTCAGGCGCATCACCGTCAATCCGGTCGCCTGTTAAGCAGTTCGTAATCACCGTCAGTCTTCGACATCTGTCAACACACTTATCCACATTATCGCCTTACTTTTGATCTTATCAATATGCAAGAATGAGTGCAAAATGCATTCCAATATTGCATCAGTTGATGTTGTATCGCAATGACACCGCGTCCTCACCTCACATCTGTTGTGCATACTTGATCACGAATGCCAGTTATACGCAGATTCACATGGTGAAGTTTTACTCCGTTGACGTTTTCTTTCCATTCTTGTAGTCGATCAAGAGGGATTACAGTTGCACATGCGGCCTTACACATGCGTTCTTACATGTTAGCTGATTGATATGTTGGACACACTGGTTCCTGTGACTCCAAGTAGTTCTGCATTGGTATTGCTTCACTTTATATGTTCTACCCAAAGATCGTTTCTAGTTTTGTCTTAGCTTGCAGCTGTATGCCATGAACATACCGGGTACTGCGCATCTTTATCGTGACATTCCTGTAGTTTCGTCACTTTCGCGGATGATTAGGACCATGAGCTCAGTTGCAGATGCGTCCAGCAGCCACCGACATTTCTACACTTTAAATTCCTAGTCTCGGATCTTATCCACATGCCAACATGATTTGAACATTTCACACGTTTAGTGATGAAATGAACAGGTATCATCTACTACATTATATTTTCATGTAAAGCACACTCCAGTCTGTGAAAAAAGAAAACCATTAGGAGCAACAATCATGCCTTAGACAGTATAGTTGCCATAGATATTACGTTGTGCAGCGGGCAGGCCGGTGCACGAAATGGCGAGTGTGAATGCAGGAATGCGTGTGAAAAACTGCCTAGGTGTGGAGTGGCTGGTTTGTCTTCCGTTACATCGTAACGGGCTCTTGACGTAGCCTTTTTTTAGTAACACCAATCATCTTTCGAACTTGAATTAACGTAATTGAAAGATGGCTATCACATTTGGAGCCAACTTTTTTGCTAACTGCGTCAAGGGCGGGCAGCGCGGTGCGTGGATGCCTTTTGGTAAAGCTCACGTCCTAATATACTATCCAGCCCTTACCAAGCGTGCATCCATGTTTCCTCCATCCGGCTCCTCGTGCCGCTGCCTGGAATATTAGCCTACGGCTAATATACCAAGAGATGGAAAACTTTTCGTTGGTATGGAATAACCGCATGTTGTTTGAAAAGACAAACACTATTCGTTAGAATTGTGTTTTTCTATTGAAAAACAACCGGAGCGGTCCTTCTCCGGGCTATGTTTTGCAAGTCTGGCCGCGAATTGGGGCAACTTGACGGGGGCCTAGACGAATCGCTCGATTTCCGTAAAAAGTTCAGGGTATGGGCTCCCGGAGGCGATCTACCTGATGGCACCGGTCCCTACTCGCTTAAAACCTCGTGGCACGTGGCACGTGCGATTCCATTTTCCCCATGTTAAGTCAACGGGGTTTCGGACACTTTTTGCGCGATCGCCAATAGCGGGAAAACGAGCCAAGGAAGAGGTGATTTTCTTCCACGCATTTTATGGAAAACACGTCCTGGTACACGCCAGTGTGCGCCGTATACCCGTCAGAATTCGTTAACTTGAGTTGCACGAGATTGAAGTTGAACTTTTTTCGCTCCCCATGTTAAGTCAATGGGCGTTTTTGCAGAGACATTTTCATTCGCTCATTGTACAAAATTATATGATACGATTTTGCTTTAACTTTCAGGACTTGTTGAGAAAAGACCATAGAACATGTTGTTATGCTTCGTTAAGCTGTCAGAATTCGTTTGCTCTTTTGAAGCTCGTTTAAAAATGAAAAATTTTAACATGGAAAGTCAATGGGAGCGTCTTTGCTGCTTAATAACTTTTTACGTTTAAGATATGTTTAAGTCAAAAGTTGATATTTTATACAACTTTTGATGCTCTTTCCAATAATATATACAACGTTATTGCACGTGCTGCCGTTTTTGAGAAATATAGTAAAAAAGCACGACATTACCGAGATTTGAGCTTAGACCTATATCGTTACGGTGTCAGGCGGACACGAGGACAGGTGGCGCCGCCGCCGCCCGCATAGCGGCGGGAATGTGAACTAACCTGTTTACCATCTATGGTATGGTACGATCGGGGGACCGGCCGCCGTTGGCACCATTTCGGGACTTTGCATCGCAATAAAAGGCTTATTTACAATTGAAAATGGACTAGCGAGGGTCGTTATAGAATCAGAATTTGATGCTCTACAAAACTAGGCTATTTTCATTGTGATGGCATCACAGACTACACCGCTAACCCCAATAAAGCAGATTTATGTCGCGTCATCGATGATTACATATAATGTTTCTTTGATATATATGTAGTCGGGTCTTTCAGCTGCGTCCCTCCCCTCCCTCGCCGCGCTGGCGGGTCGGCCATCCGCGGCTTGCCGCCCGCCGGCTGCTGGCCGGTCAGCTGGCCGGTCAGCTGGTCGCCCGCGGCTGTCGGTGCAGTGCGGGATGCCTACTTGCGGGGGGCCGTCGTGGCGGCGGCCCGGGTGGACTGGGCGAGCAGTGAGTTGGGGAGCGCTGCGCTGTCTGGTGCTCTAGTTTGTATTGCGCTCGCATGATACGGCTTGAGCCAATACAGAGTGAACTGATTGAGCTGAGCAAGTCTTTATATACATTGAAAAGTAAAGCACTTTTTACTGCATCTACGGTGAGATGCTAGAGAAAATTTATGGCGTACCTAATGGTACCGATTACTTAACAATTAAGTGAATCATTTCGTCGCTAAACTCTCGTAAATTCGTATGTCCGCCTCACTATGGAGTTTGGACCGTAACGTATGGCCTTTGCTCAGACAGTATACGAACAGGTGACGGGGATACCTCCCATAGAAGGATGCGACACGATTTTACTGCTAAATAGCGGCCGGCCGCCGTGGGGAGTCTGGGGACGTTTTTGTACGACTTATATCTCGGCAACCACTGGGCTGATACACTTACGGTTTTTTGTGTGGGGTAGCTTTTTCCCTTCTTTCATATAGTGTGCTACTCTCGATGCATATGGGTGACCCCTAACGCACGTTCCACGTGCAAAGCCAAGAGGTGCCTGTTTTGTAATAAGCGCAATAGCTCGGTAATTACTGGGCCGATTGCGCTAAAACTTGGCATGGAGGTAGACACTTTCCAGGCGATGCATTTCCATGTGTCACGGTTGGGGTGCCGCTGCACGTGCGCACGGGCAGGGTGACGATTCCAGATCTCGAGAACGGCTGGGCCGATTGTGATCAAAGTTGGCACACCGTTAGGGCTCGGCGAGTAGGGTGCCGTGCACAAGTCAGATGGGACCCAGTTTGCACGTGCGCACGTGCAGGCTGACGCTTCCATATCTCAAGAACGGCTGGACCGACTGTGCTCAAATTTGGCATACCACTAGAGACTGGTTAGTAGGGTGCCGTGCACAAGTCAGTAAGTATGTATTTTCATGTGCCGCGGTTGGGGTGCAGCTGCACGTGCGCACCTGTAGGGGTCGCTTCCAGATCTTGGAAACGGCTGGGCCGATTCAGATTAAATTTGGTACATCGCTAGAAACCGGCGAATAGAGTGCCGTGCACAAGTCAATTGGGGCCCAGGCTGCACGTGCGCACGTGCAGGGTGTCGCTTCCAGATCTCGAAAACGGCCGGGTCGATTGCACTCAAATTTGGCACACCGCTATAGACCAGCGAATAGGGTGCCGTTCACGTCAGTCCGTAGCACACCGACTCCGGTCTGCACGTGCAAGGCTCATCCTCTCGTTTGGCGGCGGGCGTTTTTGCTGCGTTTACAAAGGTGCTTGCTCAAACAACCTGCGGTCCCGCGATGCGGAGCCCAGCATCGCAGATGCTGGTAACCGCAGGTTGTTTGAAAAGACAAACACTATTCGTTAGAATTGTGTTTTTCTATTGAAAAACAACCGGAGCGGTCCGTCTCCGGGCTATGTTTGCAAAGTTGGCCTGAGATTGGGGCAACTTGATAGGGGCCTAGACGAATCGCTCAATCTTCGTAAAAAGTTCAGGGTATGGGCTCCCGGAGGCGATCTACCTGATGGCACCGGTCGCTACTCGCTTAAAACCTCGTGGCACGTGGCACGTGCGATTCCATTTTGCCCATGTTAAGTCAACGGGGTTTTGGACACTTTTTGCGCGATCGCCAATGGCGGGAAAACGAGCCAAGGAAGAGGTGGTTTTCTTCCCAGCATTTTATGGCAAACACGTTTGGGTACACGCTAGTGTGCGCCGTATACCCCTCAGAACTTCGTAACGTGTCTTTGCACGAGGTCAAAGTTGAACTTTTTTCGCTCCCCATGTTAAGTCAATGGGCGTTTTTGCAGAGACTTTTTCATTCGCTCATTGTACAAAATTATATGATACGATTTTGTTTAAACTTTCAGGACTTGTTGAGAAAAGACCATAGAACATGTTGTTATGCTTCTTTAAGCTGTGCAAATTCGTTTGTTCTTTTTAGGCTCGTTTAAAAATGAAAAATTTTAACATGGAAAGTGAATGGGAGCGTCTTTGCTGCTTAATAACTTTTTACAGTTGAGATATATTTAAGTGAAAAGTTGATAGGTTATACAACTTTTGATGCTCTTTCCAATGATATATACAACTTTATTGCACGTGGTGCCGTTTTTGAGAAATATAGTAAAAAAGCACGACATTACCGAGATTTGAGCTCAGACCTATATCGTTACGGTGTCAGGCGGACACGAGGACAGGTGGCGCCGCCGCCGCCCGCATAGCGGCGGGAATGTGAACTAACCTGTTTACCAGAGGGGTGTTCACGGGCACCGCACACTGCTGCGTGCGCTGTGTGCGGTGCGTCCAGCAGGCGTGGGGGTAGGGGATGGGTAGGCGGTTCTGACGTCACGGCTGCGTGCGGTGGACGGTCCGCTGTGGCCAGTCCCGACCGGCCACAGCGATCGCTGTGTGCGGTGACGGAAGGCTGACGTAGGGACGCAGTGGGCGGAGCTTGGAGGCTGTGTGCGGTCCGACCGCACACAGGGCCCGTGAACAGCCCTCTGATCTATGGTATGGTACCATCGGGGGACCGGCCGCCGTCGGCACCATTTCGGGACTTTGCATCGCAATAAAAGGCTTATTTACAATTGAAAATGGACTAGCGAGAGTCGTTATGGAATCAGAATTTGATGCTCTACAAAACTAGGCTATTTTCATTGTGATGGCATCACAGACTACACCGCTAAACCCAATAAAGCAGATTTATGTCGCGTCATCGATGATTACATATAATGTTTCTTTGATATATATGTAGTCGGGTCTTTCAGCTGCGTCCCTCCCCTCCCTCGCCGCGCCGGCGGGTCGGCCATCCGCGGCTTGCCGCCCGCCGGCTGCTGGCCGGTCAGCTGGCCGGTCAGCTGGTCGCCCGCGGCTGTCGGTGCAGTGCGGGATGCCTACTTGCGGGGGGCCGTCGTGGCGGCGGCCCGGGTGGACTGGGCGAGCAGTGAGTTGGGGAGCGCTGCGCTGTCGGTGCTCTAGTTTGTATTGCGTTCGCATGATACGGCTTGAGCCAATACAGAGTGAACTGATTGAGCTGAGCAAGTCTTTATATACATTGAAAAGTAAAGCACTTTTTACTGCATCTACGGTGAGATGCTAGATAAAATTTATGGTCTAATGGTACCCATTACTTAACAATTAAGTGAATCATTTCGTCGCTAAACTCTCGTAAATTCGTATGTCCGCCTCACTATGGAGTTTGGACCGTAACGTATGGCCTTTGCTCAGACAGTATACGAACAGGTGACGGGGATACCTCCCATAGAAGGATGCGACACGATTTTACTGCTAAATAGCGGCCGGCCGCCGTGGGGACGTTTTTGTACGACTTATATCTCGGCAACCACTGGGCTGATACACGTGCGGTTTTTTGTGTGGGGTAGCTTTTTCCCTTCTTTCACATAGTGTGCTACTCTCGATGCATATGGGTGACCCCTAACGCACGTTCCACGTGCAAAGCCAAGAGGTGCCTGTTTTGTAATAAGCGCAATAGCTCGCGGTAATTACTGGGCCGATTGCGCTAAAACTTGGCATGGAGGTAGACACTTTCCAGGCGATGCATTTCCATGTGTCTTGGTAGGGGTGCAACTGCACGTGCGCACGTGCAGGGTGACGCTTCCAGATCTCGAGAACGGCTGGACCGATTGTGTTCAAATTTGGCATAACGCTTGATACCGATCAGTAGGTTGCAGTCATTT